GTAGGAGGCGGTCCAGACCAATCTTGGAGGAACGCTTTGCACTTCGAGGATGCGAAACAAAGCCGAAAGTGACGGACAGCTAGTGCTAATCTGTCCAGTGCCGCTTGGCACGTCTGGGAGCTGTCACAGATTAGGGCAATATCATCAGCATACTCTAAGTCAAGAAGTCGTTCTCCTGGGAGCAGATCCACACCTTCTAAGTCGTGTCCTGTGAACGCGATTTCCATGACTTCGTCAACAATGAAGTTAAAGAGGAAAGGTGACAGCGGGCATCCTTGTCTCACACCGCTGGAGACATTAAAGGGCGACGACAAATTGCCGTAAGCCCTCACTCTGCCAGAGCTACGCGCATATAATGCTCGGATAATATTCACATATTTCTCAGGTACACCTTCCCTGAGTAGACAGTCCCAAAATGCATGTCTATCCACCGAATCGAATGCACCTTTGATATCGAGGAACACAACGGTGGGCCGCCAATATATGTGACGGTGCTCCAACAACTGACGCAAGGTGAAGATGTGGTCAATGCAGCCACGACCTCGACGAAACCCAGCTTGCTCTTCACGAATCTGGCTTTCACGAGCGCCACTCAGTCTGTGAAAGATGACAAAGGTAAGCAATTTGGAGGCGATGGAGATCAGACTGATTCCTCTATGGCTGCCGCATTCCGATCGTGAGACTCCTTTGAAAATTGGGACTATGACGGGGCGGCTCCAGTCGGTTGGGACAGTTTCCTGCTCCCACAGTTTAACTAGCAATTCGTGTAAATTATCCACAAGAGCAGGTCCCCCGAATTTGAAGAGGGATGGAGGAAGATCATCAGGTCCCCTCGGCTTTATTGAACTTCAACAGTCCGATCTCACGTTTGACTTCTGAGCGAGAGAGGGTGGATCCAAAGGGACAGCCCACAGAGCGGGGCGATCAGTGGCCGCCGAGAAATCTAACAATTCCGACCGATTAAATTGCCTTTCAAGGTGCTCAGCCCAACGCTCAAAGCGTTTTGACAAGTTGTGGATAGGCTGTCCACTCTCGTCACGTATAGTTTCACTAACACCAGGCCTTCTGCTACCCGATTCCCGTATCAGACGGAATAACTTACGATGGTTACCAAGGGCAGCGGCCATTTCCATCTCTGTTGCACGAAGAGACCACCAGGATTCGCGGTCTCTCTTCAGGCTAGCACGGAGTTTTGCCCGGAACTCTTTGCGAGTTTCATTGTGTTCGCTTCCAGCAGGAATATGCCGGCGAGCATCTATAAGTTCCAGAGACGGTGAAGAGACCCAATGTCCATGTTGGCGATTAGACATACCACATGAGGATTTTCCTGCTGCAAGTAACGTCTGGTGAATATGAGACCAGCGACCTTCAATTGCATCCAATGAGCGTTTATCCAACTCGCATGATAGCGTACTTTGATAGACATTCAGAACAGATGGCTTCGCCAGTTGGCTGGTGTCAATGCGCTCACAACGTCGTCGTGGGCGTCCGCCAAAGCGCATCCGCAGGTCGGCACATAAAAGTGCATGATCGGTGTCCACACCTGTGCTCCAAATCGAGCGACAGTTCTGGACGCAGCCTCTCCAGCAGTAACTGATGGCAATGTGATTGATTTGCGTCCGAGGCTGGTGGGCGCCAAGTCACCCTCCGGCGGGTGCTGTGTCGGAAATTAGTGCTCGCAAGAAATAAGCGAGCATCCTCACACAAATGAAGTAACCGCTCACCGTTATCATTATGAAAGCCTACACCATGTTGGCCGCCCAAATGCAGCTCACCAGTGGATAATTTTCCAACTTGAGCGTTCAGATCCCCGACCAGGATTACAGTGTCCGAGCTTCTTCTTTGGCTAAGGAGCTCGTTCAGTTGACGATAGAAGTTGGCTTGTACCGAGGCATCGCTACAGTTTGTTGGTGCATAGGCAGCGATAACGAATACACCAATGTTAGTACCACGCGACTTCGAAGTTTTGAACGAGCCAGCCAATCGGACCGCACATATCCGGCTACTGATTGGAATCCAGTCAACCAGAGCAGTTTCAGCCTGGGATCTCAGAGCAATACCAACACCGCCATGGCCGGTGCGCGAAGCTGCATCGTCACCGGATAGGCGCAATGAGAAAGTGCTGCTAGTGTCACCTGAAGGGGATCGCAGATTGAGCACAGAGCTCGAGTCTTGCAGGCGGGTCTCCGATAAGCAGCAGATATCGATCGAGAGAATCTCTAATGTTCGGGCAAATGCTGCCTGTTGACGGATCTGGAGCAATGTGCGAACATTGAGGCATGCCAATCTGAAGGAGGATCGAGGGCTCCAAGTGGAAGCCGATGAACTGGAATGGACCGCTTGTTTGGACATGGGCCTGTTGACATAGCAGGAAGGACGCTCCGCGTTCACATGTGAGTTGAAACTAAAAGACAAGCGACTATTGAAGCAAGGTGGGGGAGGGCCGAGAATTGGGGGGTTGAAAACAGGGGGGATAAAAGTGAAGCTGGAACGGGACGATAAGGGTGAGAAAGCGTAACAGGGGGAATAAGAAGACGGGAAGGTTTGAGCAGTAGCGTACAAACCCCTATCCACCCTGCTCGATGCAGCAGATAGGGCACCGTTGATAATCCTCTGCGGTGGCCAGAGCATCAGTAATTTGTTTGAAGTGAGATTCATAGCAAGTCCTACAGGAAGACGTTACACTTTGATGGTGCGAAGGTCATTCCAAGCTGAGAGACAGACACTAATGTACGCAGGACATTTTGGGTGGCGTATGAAGAGTTGCGGAGTACGGCGATGCAGTCTGCATAGTTAAAATCCCGAAGTCGGTCTTTGGAAGCAGTTAGACACCGGTGGGGTTGCAGTTCTCCAGAGCCCGCACCAGAATTGCGTCGATATCGAAATTGAACAAGAGAAATGATGGGTAACCGTGTCTCAGTAATGGTGATACCAAAGGGGGGCGCGAATGTAGGTCGTGCACCCGTTACTCGGCCCGAGGTTTTAGAGTAGATGGCTTGAATGGTGACGCTTCTGAAGCACACCCCTTTTCAGTAGACAACTCCAGGGAGTAGCTTGATCAACAAAGTCCAACGCTGCTCGTATGGCTAAGAAGACAACGCATAAGTTACAACAACGAAAAGTAGAGTCAGGGGAAGGGATGAGAAGATTCATGTGTTCTGTGAGCAGAGCTTCCAGGTTGCCCAGGCCGAGGAAGCTGACCGGCCAAATGTGTGACGACACTCGAGTATATGGCAGTGTAAAGACGTCATAGAGGCAACTCGGACCTGAGCAGAAGCAAGGTAGTCTTTCAGGTATACTCGGTTCGCGTGTCAGGCTGTATGTTTAAAAGCAGAACGGCGAGCACCTTGGAAGCAACACAGATGAGACTAATTGCTTTGTAATTGGCACAGTCAGTTCAGGTGTTCTTTGTGAAGACGGGCACGATATCCGCTAGTCTCCAATCAGATGGAATAACTTCGGTGACCTAAATCTCCTGGAGGAGAGAAGTTAGCTCCCGAACAAGTGAAGGGCCTGAAGCTTTGAAAAGAACCGGAGGGAGTATATCTAGGCTAGGGGTTTTGTAGCGCTTTAGGAGACAAAGCACATGAATAGATCTAGGAAGGTGTGTCCGACCTACTACATACCTAGTGATTTTCCTCGGCTGTACTTTCGGAAACATTGTACCTAGTAGAGTGAAGAACTGAGCCGTTAGGGTTACGATATGGTGTGGAAGCATGTTGTGCGATCATTATAGCGAGCCGTTTACATGGATGAGGAACACTGGATTAGTTTAGGCGGCGAGAAGAGAATTCCCAGTCAGCAACAAATATCGAAACGAGTAGCTTGAGAAATAGGAAGGCAAAACGGAAAACTATCACGACAGCCTGCCAGGCAAAAATAGAGTAGAGCAGTAGCAATCTAAGAAAGCAACTTGAAGAATGCGAGCGGTCCTTTGCCCATAATTCTATCGAAGGTTTACTCATCAATCGCTTTTATACCTGCGTTCGACGAGAGTATTGGCATCTATTCAATCGCTGCAAGCTAATGACATGACGAAGTAATTAATGGCAATCAGCTGCATTGCGTTTCGACGCATGGATCGTAGTCGTTTGAAATTCTGATGAATAATAGGCGCCTTTCAAAAGACAGAAAAAAACATCACTCCGAGTCCCAAGCTAGTAAAGTAGCCAGGAATGAGCAGGCCGTGCCAAGAGGGTAGTTGCTATCCCAATCGCCTATTAGTTGTAGCATTTTGTTCCCACGATCGGGACAGATTGTGCATCCTTTACCGAAATGCCCGCAATTCCTCGCTCGTTTCTTCGGATCACTTTACATGAAACTTCACAAGCACGGTGGTTGCACTAGACAGGCAGAAAGTTAGTCACACGTAAAATGTGACAACCTGGGTAATGGGGGGTTCGTCATCGCTAAGTACGATGCATCAAGGCTGCAAGCGCCAGTTTCTTCGTATATATGTTCAGTGAGATTACGTAAGAATGAAAAAGCGACCGACATTCGCCAGACGCATCTTAAGGGGAGAGCTTGGAAGTGAGCTTCAGCAGTTCTTCCATCTAAGTGTGGGCAGTTCGACATGCGGCCACAAATGGAAATTGTTTAAGCCGAGGACACTTCGCGCCAGTCCGCAAGTTGTCCACACTTCCAGAGTGGTAAACTATTAGAACAGTGCAGAAACACATCATTGACTCGCAGACAGGAAAGTTTCAAGCTATTGCTAGACACCTACCTAACGCACATGACGGGGTCCTGCGGCTCTTACTTCAAAGGTTATGATCACTGAAGGAGGAACGTTTCCCGAGAGCAAGCATCCACTTTGTGAGGACTAGGAACCGATGGAGCTGACAAGGGATCTCCCACCTGCTCTCAAGATGCCAATGTATTTAATGTATAAATGGATGGCTAAGTAACATTTTAACCCAAACGGAACACGATCGAGGATGGAAGCAGAAGGGAAGTGAAAAAACTGGCACCATACAAATGCTTTGAAAAATAGGTTTCACCTTTTTCTGGAGCCGAATAACGGAAGTCCATTTCTTTTCTAAGAGACCAGAGAATTTCCTGTCGTTTTCGCCCTCCTCAGGAAATACAAAGTTGAAAAAGCGATCGTACCAAATTGGCTTCTTCCTTCAATGCATTAACTGCTTGGATGTAGCCGTTTGAACTCAAGTAATCCAATATTGCACGATTTCTAAATGAGTGCAATGAGCAGAAGCTAGTGATTACAGCTCGTCTTTTTGTCGTTGGGCTAGAACCATTAGGTGTAATGTCAACGATCGTAGGCTAGGGGCGAAAATCCAGATAATATAATCGCGTCAGAAAATCACAGGAGCAAATTCTAATCCGTTTCTGCTAGGAAAAAGGGCACGGTGCTAAGAACGAAGGCCGGAACGTTTGATTGCACAGCGAAAAAATGCTCGTCAGGATGGAGCTCTGCAGTAAGCGCTTCACTTATGCAGCGAGTATATTCTCTACAACTTGATCTAAATGCATTATAGATTATTCGTTCTACTGAAATTGATAGAGTATCGATTTTTGCACGCACGTTTACCTAGACTAATTTTGGGTCAATAATGATCACTAGGATATTTTTATTAAGGTTCATTCAAATCATTTACAAAACGTTTTTATACGTGGAAACTTTACTATTATCTACATTTTTATCGCAAAAGAAGCTTCATTGAGTCAATTTATTGCTGTACTACAGAACTCCATCCTACTCAAATTTAAGTGGATCCGCCATTGTGTAAGCAAACGGTCCCGAATGTAGGCTTTCAGGAAAGCGAAAATGCCGCCTCAAAAACGCGATGTCTAGTTAAAAACAATAGTACGAAAACGATAGTCACTTTTAAGTAATAATATTAGCATTCTGCATGCTTATTCGCAGAAATTCTGCTAATAGTAAAAAGAGCAGAACACAAACGCGATAAATTGACTGTGCATGGCCACAGTCTGCTTGTCTTGATATTTGGTTCGTACATTTTCTTAGTAGGTAGGTGTAAACCCTTGTAAGATTGAGGTATATGAACTTATCAGTTTGCTTGTGATTTAGGACTCACTGTAAGTACCCAATATACTGGACTCACTGACGCTAAGTGATTGTAGTGCTTCTGAGCTTCGCTGTTACAAGTTCAAGTTCAAGTGGGACCGAAACAGTAGGAAAACCCAGCGAACGTTCCTCCTTGGAAGACGTTGTTGATTCAACAGAGAAGACGTGGTCCTGATGTCTCAAAGGATAGCCAAAGCAACACACACCATTCACATTGTCAACCAAACAATGCCCACGTACTCTGCTCTGTGCCGGCCACGTGAAGCACAAAAGAAAGCAGGAGTGTCAGTAAAGGAAAGAAACAGAAGAGAAGACAAGCTTATCAAATATCCTGGGCGTTATTAAGATGTAAGTAAAAATGAGTTAAAGATGCATAGGCCGTAGTGGACGAAGAATAGTTTGACATGAATGGGAAGAGTTTAAACTGCAGGCAGAGAGCGTCAAGTCGATGCTCGAACTCTTTCTTCCTCGGTGCCATCATTACATCTGCAGGCAATGCGTTTCAATAAGCCATGACATTGCGCGATAACCGAAAACCTGCCCAAACCCGGTCAGACCGGGTTTTGTGTAACTTTAATGGGTGGCCATGAAGGGTTGGCGCTCTAGTTGGGCGAAACGGTCCAGTCATATCAGGACCAATCTGACCCATCAATATCCGATATTTATGGACCGATTAGCCCCGAAACCGTCTGTAATACATAGAAAAAGTATTTAATTTACGTAGCCACTCCGCGTACGTCAGCTGCAGGACACGTGCAACTGTCATCTTATTACGAACCAGGCATGTAGGACACGCCTGAACGCAGTATTCCAAAAGCTGAAAACAGTCTAACCAACCTTTCGGTAGTCATGATCCCGAATGACCTGCGGATATTCCACAACATGTTGCAACCTTTGCGAGCAGCTGTCGTCCAGTGTTCACTGGACTCAAAGTCGGATAACAGCGAAACACCGAGATCAGATTGGAGGTGAACACGCGGTTCCTCTTGGCCGCCAAGCGAATAACGCGTCCGCGGGTCATTCGGACCAACGCGAAAAACGGAACATTTCGCTAAATTAACGGGCAACTGCCAACAAATTGTCCAGTCCCAAGGTCTATCCAGAGCCCCTGTACGGTCAGTGGACCAATCAGATCGCCTACAGTGAACCAGAGTTTCAAGTCACCCGCAACCATAAGGCCTGGCACACTCGATTCATCAGGTAGGTCATTAACGTATAAAGTGAAGCGAAGGGGGCCAAGAACCGAACCTTGCGTAATGTCACTGAAAACACATTGGCGGCAGGACAGTGTTGAACCCATCGCACGCACATTTCCCTTCCGATTAGGAAAGCTGAAATCCATCGTAAGACTGGTCCAGAAATACCATAGGAGTTCAGCTTATACAAAAGGCGCGAATGTGGAACTGTGTCAAAAGCTTTGGAAAAGTCAATGAACGGCACGTCCACTGCCTTCTCGCAATAAACGGCTTCGGCCCAGTGTTCACGAGCGGTTAACATGTTAGTAAGGCAAGGATGACCCCTACGAAAGCCGTGCTGATAAGGACTAACCAACTCAAACGCTTTCAAGTGTCCTTGGAAAGCGTCCCTCACGAGCTTTTCCAATAACTTGACCAGCACGCTCGTTAAACTAGCCGGTCTATAGTTATCAGGGAGGTGCTTAGCACCTTTCTTAAAAATGGGACAAACAATAGCCTCCTTCCAGTCCTTGGGTAGAGAGCAGCCTCCTACAGACTTCATAAAACGTTGCGTTACCGGACGGCTAAGTTCAGCAGCCAACTCGTAAAACAGTTTGGGATAAATAGCATCCCCACCGGCCGCTTTACTGCTATTTAATTGCCTCAGAAGCCGGAGCACTAGAGCCGCCGTTATAGAAACCTCCTCCATCCGTAGTTCTTGAAAACGTATGGAAACAGCAAACTTGACTCTGTCAGTTCTTTCATGCTACAAAATGGATCGCAATTCCCAGTTTACGCGGAATCCATCATCTGCTATCTTCACGCTGCTCGTTTGCAGTTAGCCGCCCGCTTCCTTCAGAAATCGGAAGCTTTTGCTCGCCGAATTCTGATGCCATCCATATTCCTTCAATTCAGTACTATTTGGGTTGCTTAGCACCCACTTACTTCTGATCCATCTCGTTTTACCTGCCAACTAGCGTAGACTTATTCTCCATATGCGGATTTCGCAATCCCTGCATAACTCGGAACATCCGCTATACTGACTGCGCGAGCTGTCGATTTTCCCGCTCCCCTTTTATTTTTGCTGTAAAAATTTTCTACTCATGGGTATTGCTGCTGTATCACGAGGGAACTGTATTTCATAGCTATCAGGTTCTTTACGCTGTGGATTCCTACGCTTGATGCGTCGAAATCCGTACGAACGAATCACGTCTGGTAAGATCCGACGGAAATTCGTATGTCTTGCTTAGTAGGCTACTACCAATCGGTCTACTTCTTGCTTTTCCTTAACCGCTTGGCAGTTTCTTCCCTTGTATAGGCTACCGTAGCCTATCCTATGTCATCCTTGGGTCCCCAATCAGCTGACGCAAAGACAAAATGCGGCAATCCTATGTGCACCGAACCGTTAGCGGATTCGACTGGCGGAAGGCACTTTGCCATCTGCAGTAGTTGGTTTCACGAAGGATGCTCCTGTTTAGCCTCAGCACAGCATGGCGCTACGGCTAGCAGTGACAGGCTTCGCTTCAGCTGTCCTACTTGTTGCAAGCAAAATACTTCGCGTGGTCCTCTTTGGACGTAAGAACTTCGGCTCCTGTGTCTAGGTTAGGATGCATGAAAAACTTATTTGCCCAGTTGCCCGACCTAGACAGGTTGGTGAACACAACCGTAACTATTCCTGAAAACGCTGGTACACCAGTCATGCAGCTTATGGTTGGTTTGGGCAACACTTCGGATACGAGCAGTATGACGATCTTAGCTCTTCCTTGTGGGCACGCACTCTACTAATGACGATCCGTCGGACCGCATTGTTGACTCATCTCAGGATAGGGAAGATTTTCTGGCTCCTATCCTTAAAACATAGATAAAGTAGGGCCAGGAATGCTCTACCCTCGCCTAAAATGCAAACAAACGAAGACTCAAGGTATGTACCAACGCCATCTTTTACAGCCACCAATCCTATACAGCCGCATATGTGCCCATCCCATGGGTCTGTTACACGCGCTGTGCACACCCCACTTCGGGGTATCTTGTGTACGGATAATTGTATAATCTTTAATGATGTCGTTGAAGCTTCTTCCGTATTTTCAAAGGAAAGGACGTTACATGAGCTCGTAGTTTACAATTTTCGTTACTATACCCCCCGCCCGGATGCCCTGGACTGGCTGTGCGTAACCGAACCAGATTTGATGAGGTGCCACCCAGTATCCTGCACACTAGTCCTGGCCGTCTGCTAGCGGTTCCATCCACACCAAAAACGCCCCCAGCGCTTACGCTACTTGCTTTTAAGTTAAAAGCGCTAGGGTCGGCATAATACCGGAGGTTCCCATGGTGGACAGGGCGAAACCGAAGGCAGGTTTCCAAGACTCCAGGTCACTTCGAACAGCACGTGAAAGCTGTCTGCGGTTATTGAGTTTTCGGGTGATGTTCCGGAGGTCTACTTCAGCCAAGCCAGGGCGCATCCTGGTGGTGCACGATCCTGGACGCACCATACAAATACCCTTTATGTAGTGCTCAGTAACGTGCGTAGCACAGGTAAAAAGACGTGCGAAGTTGGCGCCTTAGTGGATCGCTTCCATCCAGATGTCATCGATTTTACTAAAACATGGCACGGACAGTGAAATACTCCTACCTAGCTATGCACTACCAAGGTCAGATCGTCCCTGCGGCCTTCGCGGATGTGGACATGAGCTTTATCTAAACCCCCTTTTACCTGTTTCTAAAACTTAAGTTCCAAGCGACCGATGGGATCGTTAAAGCTCTTTCGGTTGACAGGTGCATCTTACCATCGCAGTTTAAAATTATTCTAGTATATAAGAGCCCTGGTAGCGCTTCCAGAGTTTTCCTTGGGTTAATTTTCAATCACTCTCCAAACCGATACTTGTGATGGGTGACACTAACTTTCCAGGGATAGGCAGGCACCACCGCTCCTACGACAGGGCGACTGTAGGCTTTGCTAACGAACTAGTGATGCGGACGTTGCGCGCTCCCATACATCAATTTTTAAATCTTCCCACACGGTCCATGGATGAACAACCTTCGTCCATCCTTTTTATATTTTCTTTTCTTTTTTCTGCTATCTGCTTGCAAAGCAGAAAGCGATTTTTAGCGAAAAATAAAAATGGCCTTATTCGTAGACCATCATTTAATTGCGAATAACTCGCAAACTACTGCACGCATGGTGTTGCTTTTGCATTCGTCGTATTCAGGCGCTAAAGCTCGTCCAGACAGGTGTAATTTGGTGCTACTTTAAGCGGTATTCTAACTTTAGAAGGGCTTTTTCTTTTATCTGAGAATAACTCAGGTTGGAATTTTGCGCCGTAGAGCAATATCAGCG